CCCTCGCGCATTCTCACCAGTTTGCCTGCCTTCGGAGGGTCTCCGAGCCTGGCCAGTGTTGTTAAGAAACGGGCTTCCATGGCAAGCGCCTCAGGGACCCTGCGGATTGCAGCAAGTCTTTTAAAGATAGCGCTGATAGGCTATAAGGCTTGTGCCTGTGCTTTTGCTCACAACCCCGTCCAGCGCTGTGTCAGGTGAGGACCAGTCATGATTTCACCGGGTTGAAAAGGAGCTAGTAACACTGGGGCCTGTCTGGTTGTCTCCAAGCCCAAACCACAGGGGCCTTTCCTTCCACCAGAGCTCAGCATACAATAGGTATGCAATAAATGCCTAGGGAGTACTGGTCTGGTAGAATAGCTCTGCAAGGGGAACTCAGAAGCCTCCTGCCAAGATGGCCTCTCTGACCAATGGCTACCACTATTGAACACCTACTGTGTGTGAGAAATCTGACGCCTTTCATGGTAAGACTGTAACCCTGCTTTACAAAAAGGAAACTGAGACTCAGAAAGACGGATAGGCACAAGATTCTACACCCAGCATCCCAGTCTTAGAACCCACTAACTCCCTCCCACCCCCAGGTCTCCAAACCAGGTCCTTGGTTCCCTCAACTTGGGTACCTCTCCAGGAAGGGTCCCTCAAATCTCTCTGAACTTCTCCATTGGACACACGGTCGTTTTAACCACCCCGGGAGCTCCCCATGCTCATATATTTCTTGGGAGCCTCAGCAACTATGGCAGCCAGGAGGGGGCGATTACACAGCAGACCCCGTTAAGAACCCCAGGCTCAGAGCTTGCTCTCTGGCCAGACGCAGTTCTGCATGAGGCCACCGGGTGGCGCGCAGTTCTCCCAGCCCGACCTTGCAATACGGCGAGGTGTCACCAGATGGTGCCCGAAGGCTGCGGCTCTTCCGGCAGGCCTGGACAAGGTGGAGCCCAGGCTCGATACAGTACCATCCCCGCTACTCCAGCACACGTGATCAACTCACCGCCGCCTGCTACCGCACCATGGCCCAGTCACTGCCTCGGCTATCTGTTCCCGCGGTGCTGGCCCTGGGCTCGGCCGCCCTGGGCGCCGCCTTCGCCACTGGTCTGTTGCTGGGTGAGCTGCGGCAGTCCCGGGAATGGGAGGGCGCGGAGTAGAGCCCTAGAACCCTGTTAAAACCCCAGGCCCTGATCTGGCACCCTTTCCCGGGCAGGGAGACGGTGGCCTTCGTGGGGATCCAGACAACAGCGCCTGCTGCCCCCCGAGGACAGTCCCCTGTGGCAGTATCTGCTGAGCCGCTCCATGCGAGAGCACCCGGCGCTGCGGAGCCTGCGACTGGTCAGTAGGAATGGGGGACCAGAGCAGGCGCCTCATTTCCTAGCGTGGTGGATCTCACGTGGCTGTGTGACCTTGGGTTGGGCAGAGGCCCACACTGGGCTTCCGGGTTTCCTGAGACCTGTCCCCTCTTGGCCACACCTGCCACCGCGCCCCTGCAGGATTCAAAATCTGTGCGGGGGCGGGTGATTGGCAGGAACGGTACCACCCTCTCCCCACACACAGCTGACCCTGAAGCAGCCGCAGGGGGATTCCATGATGACCTGTGAGCAGGCCCAGCTTCTGGCCAACCTGGCGCGGCTCATCAAGGCCAAGAAAGCTCTGGACCTGGGTAGGGACGCACAGCCATGGTCGCTGGGAACCCGGCTCACGGGTCCCGTCCCGCACCCTGGACTGAGCCTGTGAGTGTACCGGTCCACAGGTACTTTCACGGGCTACTCCGCCCTGGCGCTAGCCCTGGCGCTTCCCGAGGCTGGCCGCGTGGTGACTTGCGAGGTGGACACGGAGCCCCCGGAGCTGGGGCGGCCCCTGTGGAAGCAGGTGAGAGTCCCACACTTGCGGCTGCGCGTGCTCGGGGATTCGGGGGCGTGCCGGTCTGACCGGCCTCCTTCCGCAGGCCGAAGCTGAGCACAAGATCGACCTTCGGCTGCAGCCCGCCCTGCAGACTTTAGGTAAGCACCGGCGCAGGAGGGGCCCCATCTGCACTGTCCAACCTGGGGGACCAAGTTTGGAGACCCTGAACCTTGGGCAGGGGCTTCCTGCCACCGGAACCGCAGCTCAGCTGCACCTGCTCTGTCCCTCAAGATGAGCTCCTGGCGGCGGGAGAGGCCGGAACCTTCGACGTAGCGGTGGTGGACGCGGACAAGGAGAACTGCACCGCCTACTACGAACGCTGCCTGCAGCTGCTACGCCCTGGAGGAGTGCTCGCCCTGCTCAGAGTAAGGACTAGCAAAAACTAGACGGCTCCTCCCGTCCCAAAATTCCGCCCACAACACCGTAGGCACCGCCCCCGCCCCCCCTCCCGATGGCCCGCCCCTCCCTCCACAGGTCCTGTGGTGCGGAGAGGTGCTGCATCCTAAACCCAAGGACAAGGCTGCTGAGTGCGTGCGGAACCTGAATGAGCGCATCCTGCGAGACGCCAGGGTCTACATCAGCCTCCTGCCCCTGGGTGACGGGCTCTCCTTGGTCTTCAAGATCTAAAGAGAACCCCAGCCAGTGACCCTAGTTTTAAACCTGTCAATAAAAGGACTAGGACACACCATTTTCTGAGCATCCCTATCTGCCGTTTATTAGGTGTTGGTCCCTACAGGACCACCTTCCAGCAAAGCAGTCTCCCTGGCACCAAGGCTTGTGGCCCTATCTGATAGAATTTTTTTTTTTTTTTTTGTTTTTGTTTTTGTTTTTTTTGTTTTTCGAGACAGGGTTTCTCCGCAGCTTTGGTGCCTGTCCTGGAACTAGCTCTTCAACTCCCAGAGATCCGCCTACCTCTGCCTCCCGAGTGCTGGGATTAAAGGCGTGCACCACCACCGCCCGGCCTGATAGAATAATCTTAATAAAGTGTGCCAGCTGCATGTATTGAGTAGAGTCCCAACAGGTTATGAGGGCTAGACATCAGGGATGTCTCCTGCCTCCCACCCACAGGCTCCTAGAGACACCACACCTGGGGCCTGACAAGATAGATCCCTGCAAGAGAGCAGCCTGGTTCTGGGTACTTTTGTAGCAAAGACAGATCCGCTGGCAGTCTACAGCATGGTTTCACAGGGCTGTGGCCTCCCCAACCTCTCCTGTGTGCAATTCAAGTCCTCGTCAGTGACCATCAACTGAGAACCACCTCTCTTGGCCTAGACCTGAGGACCTAAGGTTGGCTCAAATTTCTGCTTCCCCCAATCAAGGTCCGAGGGAGGGAACTGATGTCCAAGGTGTAAAGCAGACAGGACAGCAGGCCTCATTCAAGGCACCTCAAGAACTTTAGGCGCACGCCTTTAATCCCAGCACTCGGGAGGCAGAGGCAGGCGGGTCTCTGTGAGTTCGAGGCCAGCCTGGTCTACAAGAGCTAGTTCCAGGACAGGAACCAAAAAGCTACGGAGAAACCCTGTCTTGAAAATCAAAAAAAAAAAAAAAAAAAAAAGAACTTGAGGCTTTTCCAACATTGTCCTTGGGGGGTGGGGGGACAGTGAAGGAGCCAACTTTGACTGACCTGGGCCTTTGCTCCTCACAACTGCCCAGCTTGAGGGTAAAGTTCTTTACACGCACACTGCCTGAAGAACTCAGGCAAAAAGGGCACTTCCTGGGACACTACAGGTTTGCCACCTACGGATTAAGACCCTGGTGACGCACACCTATAGGCTGCTCCGAGTGCAGCTGCAGGAGCCCACAGCCCTGCTATGGACATGTTCTCCAGGGAACCAGCTGTGCCCACCCCTCCCCCCCCCAGTGTATATTCAAGGGCACACAGGAGACCTGGTCCAGTCTACTTTGGGAAGTGTCTTTTCTACACTGGTACCCACATGTGTACACACACTAGCCCACACCACCAACAGGTGAACTCCCAAATGCAGTATGAAATGCGCTTGTTAGCTAAGGGGCTGCAGGACAGTGACCTGTTGGCTTATGTTGCTGAGTGCTGCTTTCATGTAAGTCTGGGTACCTTTCATAGTTCCTTCTAACCAAGCAATGGATCCAGATCAAATTTCAGCCTGTTACCTTCCAGAGATAGGTGCTTGGAGACAGAACCTTTCGAGAATCAGTCTTTTGATTCACATGGCCACCCCCACCACCCCTGCCAATCCCTTAGGACATACAGTGGGGCTGGAAGGCACCCGTGTCCCTCAGGCCCCATTTGGCAAGGCAAAGTTCTATCTTCTAGTCCTTACCCTAGAAGTTCTCCATATGCACCACTTCTACGGGGAAGCCCCAAGTGCTCCAAAGCTTCAAATGAACTCTAGGCTCTTAATCAGAGTGACACTTGACTCCTCTCTCTCATCTGTGATTTTCCCTCCACCTCTGATGGACCTCCTCCCCAGGGAAGCTTGTGCTTTCAAACCAAAATCATTGGGTCCTACAGATCACCCAGACAATGGCTAAAAGGGTTGTCGGCTTTTCAGTGTTTATCTGGAAAGAGCGCTGACTTCCTGCTGGTGCCCTCTTCCTCCTCTCCCCGCCCTCTTGTCCCTGCACTGCTCCGCTCAGGGTCCTCTTCCTCCAGTGTCAATAGCTGGGGTTCAGGGGATGGCATGCCTGTTTAACCACTCAGCACCACTGCTGCATCATGCATGAGCTAACAGTGATTCATTGTAAGTGTGCACGAACTTAGAAACTGAAGAATGCTGAAGTATGTATCCTCTGATTTTATTGTAGTCTCAAAGACCTCGTGGAATTATGCTAAGGACACAGGAATTTGGTTGCACAGACTTAGGTAAAGAGCAAACTGCTCACCAGAAGAAAGTATTAACCAAGGTTAGACCCTGGCTGGCCAATCTGTAACTGCACATACGTGGAGTCATTAGTTATGTACACTTGTTTATTCATAATTTGTCATGTTTGGGGATTATCAAAGTAATTCTAATGATGGCTGAATATAACAAAAGAAAATCTTTTACCTCATCTTAAAATATCGACTGATCCATCTCATTTAGTACAATAGTCAATGTTAAAAGAACATAAAACAAACATGCACACCATGGCACGGTTTTCATAAACGTCTATTTCATCACTGGTGGGTAGCACATTTAACAGTTAAATACAGTTAAATAAGGTGTGGTGACTGCACGACGGCGGCATCCAACTAACACCAGCCAACAGGAAACTGTCTAAATATTTAAAATACAGCTCTTGTTTAATCATCCTTTGATTTGATCACCTTCTGGGGGGAAGGGGAGGAGCCTGCTGGTCACTTGGAAATATATTAAGGCCAAATCTTCTGATATCCGTTCCCAGAGGTTTCTTTCAACTGGATTAAGCCTCCAGTTCCAAGGCAAGCCCAAGTTTGTGGCCTCCAGCATTAAAGCTCTTCCCATCTACCAGAGCAGACAGTGTAAGCTTCACACCTGCAAACAAAGCAAACCACCATGATGGCCCTGACAACCACTCAACCCCCACTACTGCCTAAGCCCACAACTACCATACTAATCCCAATGGGCATTGGATGAACCGTGAATACTAGCAATCATGGGAAATGTACACCTGAGACCTCAAAAGGTTAGTAATAAGTTCAAAGTGTTCTAAGCCAAAATCATGGTCACTATACTACCCAGATTGTAACTGAATCCTCAAGAGACCTCTGGGGCGAGTGGGAAGCACACATAGGTAGGTAGGTAGGTAGTGCTGATGTAAGAAGGGTGCCAGGTATGCCAGCAGGAACTGGTCAGGTGTAGGAAGTAGGGTCCCCACTACAAATGGTCAACTGCTCTAAGCGCTCCAGAGCTCTACACCTCAGATCCACTGAGTGACAATCTGCCTGCGTATACCCCGAAGCTGCTCTGAAACCCCTTGTGCCTCAAGGGGATGCAGAGACAGACCAAGTAAACTCTGGTCCAAGACACCATTTAGACGGCAGTGAGAAACTACACAGTGCGCTAGATGGCTAGGAGTGCGGCTCTCTATAGAATGAGGAAGGCAGTGTAATGTTCAGGCCGCCTCCTCACTATACAGAGCAAGGGGGAGGGAGTCATAAGCTGCAACTTTCCAGGAGGGGAGTATCAGCCCACTACAGCCTTGAAACGTGTACAAAACAATAAACTAAAAAAAACTAGTTTTAGGCAGGGGTGATGGCACACGCCTTTAATCCCAGCAAGTGGGAGGCAGAGGCAGGCATATCTGAGTTCGAGGCCAGCCTGGTCTACAGAGATGAGTTCCAGGACAACCAAAAATATACAGAGAAACCCTGTCTAGAAAAATGAATGAATGAAAGGAAGGAAGGAAGGAAGGAAGGAAGGAAGGAAGGAAGGAAGGAAGGAAGGAAGGAAGGAAGGAAGGAAGGAAGAAAGAAAGAAAGAAGCCAGGCGATGGTGGCGCACGCCTTTAATCCCAGCACTCGGGAGGCAGAGGCAGGCGGATCTCTGGGAGTTCGAGACCAGCCTGGTCTACAGAGCTAGTTCCAAGACAGGCTCCAAAGCCACAGAGAAACCCTGTCTCAAAAAACCAAAAAAAAAAAAAAAGAAAGAAAGAAAGACGGGGACGAGGGAGGGAAGGAGGGAGGGAGGGATTGATTGATTTTGATAGAAGAGGTCCTGGGTTCAATTCCCAGCACCCACATGGTGGCTCACAACTGTCTGTATCTGGATCCAATGCCCTTTTCTAGTGTGGACATTCAAGCAGGCAGAACACCCAGACACTTGAAACAAATGAATCTTATTTAAAAGGAGAGGGAGGTTGTATAAACAATGCTACTTTATTAACAACACTTACCAGGCTTCAGAGTCTGAGTGTAACCCACTCCAATTAAGCTGGAGTTGTTGACCTTTGCCTGGAAAAAGAGAAAGACATTTCTGAAGGGAGCAAAGCTCTTGGGTATTCCCCAGCATGAACTATAGAGCCCAGGGCTTTAACTCAATAGGATACTAAAATTTAGTATCATGAATTAAGCAAACACCAAGTGCAACTTAAAATTAAACATTAACTCAAAGTCAAATTGTCATTAGGGTCCAACCACACATTTTATCCCCTTGGGATGTATACGGAGACCCCTATTGCCCACACAATATCAAGTCGCCCTTGAGTCTTCTCTATGCACAAAAGCTACAATGTGGCTGATGACGCCTACCAGACCCACTAGAGGTGAAAGCCATCTTTGGAATGTACATGAGGAATTTATAAGCTTGTGGCTTTCCACACATCACCACTCCCAGGGTTCTTTCTCAGATCCCCACAGCTTAATTCCTTCTTCACGCTCTTAACTCTCAGCTGCTGGATTTGGGCTATAACTAGTTGGGGCCTCATGAGGCTCCAATGGGGAAGTTTACCAATTCCTTATATGCCCTGACAATTTAGGATTTAGGTCACAGACTTCGAGGGTTGACAGGAATGCTGAAGAGCAAATATGTTAAGCAGCAGCTCCAAGCACAAGTCTCCACTACCCCAGCTAGATGCTCACATATGTCCAGTCCATCCACACTGCATCCTAATGTTGTTACCTAGCAATGTGACGGTACTATACAGGACACATGCAGCCTGGAGGCCACAGCACAGATACACCTGCAACTTACTGCCAACTCCAGAGCCTAGACAGACAACTGGGCTCTTCAGCATCCTGGGAGCTACAAAATAAAGCTAACATCTTGCTGCGAGCACAATGGATCTGGAATGATTCAGTGACTCTTCTTGTGATGTATAAACATCAAAACGCAATCAAAAAAAAAAAACCGCAATCAAGATAATGCCTATGCTTCTAGGCGCTGCTCCACTGGGTCATCAACAGCTCTATTGATGGGAAACGCTGCCATGATTCCACAATGACTGGCAGCAGTCACTCAATGACACCTAGGCCCCAAGCCACCTTTTCCCATGGACACTATTAGCTGAAAGGGGTCTCTACACGGGCATCCAGTCTGCTATGGTGCCACAAGCACACATCTGAAGACCAGCAATGTGAGAGAGAACGTTGTGCTGAGCAGAATGCTTTCCTAGTGCAGTCAGATACAGCAGGAGTCATAAATGTGTCACTGACTTATCAAAGGGAGAAGCATTCTGGGTATTTTTCACTTTACACTGTGTCTGATATGTTTTATGTTTTATCATAAAACAAAGATGGGACTAAAACATACCTGCTTAAGGTATTGAAACACAAGTTCTTGAGGATCAAGAGTACTTTATGTAATAGCACTAACTCTCCTGAACTGTTTAACTTCCTGTCATACCTAGTACATACAGTACAGACAGTCCCTGACACACAGTAACAGCCGCTGATCTGCCAGGAATGGAAGTCAATCCCCACCCTCACAGCACACGTTCTTCTACCCAAGCCACTATGTTTCACTAAAGACACAAACAGAAGAAAGAGCCAAGAATCAGACAAGAGTGGCCAAACACCTTGCTCTGGCCTTAGAAGAAGGAGAGTAGTAGCCCTGGAGGTGCAGGTTTTTAGGCCAACAGTCCCAGGAAGATGTTCCTCCCCAGCCCCACCACCAGCAACAGTAATATTAAATCCTTTCTCTTGCCAAACTCTAGTCTCTTTCTTCAGTGACCTTTCAGACCAAATCTGATTTCATAAACCACAAAAATATGAAATCAAAAATACTATTATTATTCCCCAACACAAGTACAAACAACCCAGGACTCCAAACATGGGTTACCTGGAGCTTAGCCAGGCTTGGGGGCTCACGGATATCAACAATACTAATCCAGCAGCTCTCAAATTCAAGTGAACGTCTGTGATTGTCTTAGTTACTTTTCTGCTGCTGTGATAAGACACTATGACCAAGGTGACTTATAAAAAGAGAGCATTTAATTCGGGGCTCCTGCTTTCAGAGAGTCCATGACCATCACGGTGGAAAGCTGGGCAGTAGGCAGGTAGGCACAAGCAGAAAAAGTTAACGGGGAATGACTGGGCTTTTGAAGCCTCAAAACCTGCCAAGTGACACACACACTTCAACAAGATTACACCTGCTAATCTGTCCCACCAAGCATTCAAATCTATTACCATATGGAGGCCATTCTCATCCAAATCACCAGTGAGCTAGCTTGAAAAATCAAACCTCTATCCCAATTTTCACAGGAAAAGCAGCATTCCAATTCTAACCTCAGTACATGTGTCAACATGGCCTGTGTGACTCCCGGGCAAGCTTTCCACACCATCCAATATACCTAGAGTAATTCCCACAACCAAAACCCCATTCTGAGGTGAAGAAGTACTCACAGAAATGGAAGCAGTAGGATCCAACTGGTATTTAGCTGCAATGCCAAAGCGAGTGCAGTTGGTACCTGACGTCCAAGCAAGATTTACCGAGGTATCGAAATCCTCGCACACTTTCTGATAAATTGATCCTCCAAATTCTGTCCCATTATTGCTATAAGATATTTTGAATTAGAATCTAGAATAGACAATGTAACCATTTCTAAGGCACAGGGTAACACTGCAGCACCACATGTTATATAAACGACCACTAGCACTGAGCAGGTGGCCTAGTCACCACTAGGATGCTTGCCTAGCGTGCAAGAGCCCCAGTCTCATGTTTTTAATGATTTATTTTATGTATACTGGTGTTCTACCTGATATCCGTTTGCACAGAGGTGTCCGATCCCCTAGAACTGGAGTAACGAACAGTTGTAAAGCTGCCATGTGGGTTCTGGGAATTGAACCTGGGTCCTCTGGAAGAGCAGCCAGTGCTCTTTTAACTGCTGTGGCATCACTCCAGCCCAGCCTCATGTTTTGTTTGGTTTGATTTTTTGAAACAGGGTTTCTATGTAGCTTTGGAGCCTGTCCTGGAACTCATTCTGTAGACCAGGCTGGCCTCTGCCTCGAGTGTTGGGATTAAAGGCATGTGCCACTACCACCCGGCCAGCCTCATGTTTTTAAAGGCACGGTCTCTCTATGTATTCCTGGCTGTCCTGAAACTCATTATGTAGAGCAGGCTGGCTTCAAACTCACAGAGATCCTTCTGCCTCTATTTCCTAAATGCTAGGATTGAGGTGTGCAACACCTACACACAGAGCAGAGGGGTTAGGACCAAGGACAGAATATTGCCTACCATGGATGAAGCCCTGGATTCAACTCCCAGCAGTACCACGCACATACACATGCACACACACAAATGTTCACCAAAAGTTTATATATCAAGGTAGGAAATTTCAGGCAAGGCAGAGCTGAGATTACACTGTGTAAAAATATGTCACTGTGACTGATTTAATAAAAAGCTAAACAGCCAACAGCAAGGCAGGAGGTTTAGGCGGGAATTCTGGACAGGGGGAATTCTGGAAGAAAGGAAGGCGGGGTCAGGTCACCAGCCAGATGCAGAGGGAACAAACACAGAAGTAGCACATGGCAACTTGTAGGTTAGTTAATAGAAATGGGTTAAGTTCTAAGAGCTAGTTAGAAACAAGCCTAAGCTAAGACCAAGCTTTCAAAATTAATAAGAAGTCTCCATGCACTATTTAAGAGTAGCTGATGGGACTAGGACCAGAGACAGACAGACAGGGGTCTTACTGGGTCTTAAGGCCCTTGCCACCAAGCCTAAGGACTTGAGTTCAATTCCTGGGACATTAAGTTTTCCACAGTTAACCTCCATTTTTATGTCATAAAAATGGAATTATGGATTATGGAAAATGGTTTTCTTTTGTACTTCTGTTACATACCAATACACTGTTTTATGGGGAAAACAGTTAAGTCCTTTTCTATGTAATCTAACTTGAGTTAGGTAAAAAAAAAAAAAAAACCACCATTTTTTTTCCTTTTTTCTTTATTGAGAAAGGTGCTCACTATGTAGTTCTGGCCAGCCTAGAACTCACTATGTACACTAAGATGGCTCAATCTCAGGAAGATACAGCCGCTTCTCCCTCCCAAATTAAAAATGTAAGGCACCACATGATCGTACATGCTAAAATAATCCTATCAAACCAGGACCCCACCCATTCTATCATTACTCAGAGACAGCAGCACTGGTAGCAGTCTGTCAACGTCTAACCTCCCACTCCCAGCCCCTTAAAGCTATAAAGCATCTCAAGCCTTGGTGACATTAAGCATGCACTCTCAGTGTCTACACTACATGCTTCTGAGGAGCTCCTAAAACTATCCCATGTCAGACACCCTTTAAATTAAAAACAGATCAAAAGAAATGACATCCCACAGCATCCTGAGAGCCTATAAAGGAATACTTACACATTAGTATGTAACTGAAAGTCCCCAGTCCTGTAGCCTACTGCAAAGTTACTCCTTGTCAGCTTTGACTTGGCACTGTCAAAGGTCATCTGGTACCCAGCAAGCCAGCCCTCATAACCAAAGACAGCTGAGCCGTGGATCGCAGGTCCAGCAAAATCAAAGTCAACATCACAGCCAAGGTTTATACACTCCCTCTTGTAAGCAGACTTGATTTTACCACTTTTCTTCCTGAAAAAAGGAAAGACTAGTTTCAAAATGATGCTAGTGACAGATTTATATATCTAACTCTACAAGGGGGGCATGAAAGATTTAAATAAACTGCAGTATGAAAATTTCAGGATTAAAAACAACGAAATAAGCCGGGCAGTGGTGGCGCACGCCTTTAATCCCAGCACTCGGGAGGCAGAGGCAGGAGGATCTCTGTAAGTTTGAGGCCAGCCTGGTCTACAAGAGCTAGTTCCAGGACAGGCACCAAAGCTACAGAGAAACCCTGTCTTGAAAAAACCAAATAAAATAAAATAAAATAAAAACAACGAAACAAATGGAACCCACAGGGAGACAGGGAGAAGAGTTTTGTAAACTACCAGTCACAAATGCTAAGAAACAATTAGCACTGCCACACTGAAGAGGCTATTTCTGAAGCAAGCCAACAGTGTCGAGCAGTGTTCACAAGCAGAAGTGAATGACTGAAGTGAAGCTGCTTCTCTCCTGAGCAGACAAGAATGCTTCAAGTTCAAAGCACTTCATAAAAATATAAACACTTACCCTGTGTTCGGTGAAAAGGTAGTATCAAATGTCAGCTTCAAACCTTGACAGATCTATTTTAGGAGAAAAAGAGCTTATGAGAATTTATGTTCAGCTTGATTTCCTTTTTTTTTTCTTTTTTTAAATTTATTTATTTGTTATATATACAATATTCTGTCTGCATGTATGTCTGCAGGCCAGAAGAGGGCACCAGACCTCATTACAGATGGTTGTGAGCCACCATGTGGTTGCCGGGAATTGAACTCAGAACCTTTGGAAGAGCAGGCAGTGCTCTTAACCACTGACCCATCTCTCCAGCCCTTGATTTCCTTTTTGAAATACAAAAATACACAAAAGCAAGTGTGTGAACCATTACCTGGTCTTCAATCGCGATCTCTGTCCCCAGAGTGTTATCGGTGTTCCATTTCTCTGTGAAAGTCAGACCATACTCACACCATTTGTATTTGGTCTCCAAGGTCCCGCTAACTTTACCAGTGTCCGTGTTAGATGAACCAGATGTTGAAAATTCCTAATAAGACAATAAACAACCTCATGAACCCTCCTTCTCCTAAGCCTGGAAGAAACCACTGCCTAATTTATAGAACATTCTATCTTTATCTTAAGCTACTTCCAAAGCAAACCCAACAGTGAAGAATTACCTCCGACCGACTGATGCCACTACAATGCCACCTAACGTTTCTACCTAGTCAATAAAGTCAGACATACAGGGCTGCTGAGATGCTCACTGGATAGAAGAAAGGCTTACTGTCAAGCCTGATGACTTAACTTCCATCTCTAAAGCCTACATGGCAGGAAGAGAGGACAGAGTTCTGCAAGTTGCCCTCTAACCTCCGCCCACATGACCCAAGTATGCCTGCACATACACATAATCTTCACACAAAATGTGAAAAATTGTAAGTAAAATTTAAATTCAACAATCCAAATAGTCTATTTTTCTTTTTTCTTTTTTTGGGGGAGGAGCCAATACAATGGCTAGTTTATTGGAGGGAAGTTTTCCATCATATTCTGAAAAGTTAACACAGGGCTCAGAGGGCCAGTTGGTGGGGCACCAGCTGATAATGGGTTCCACGGCTTGGGCACCGCTGAGTCTCGCCTTTGTGCAGCCAAAACCAGATGACGGTACAGTTGTCCTCTTCACAGATGCAGCCCACTATCCGCTTGTTGGTGATGGACGGGACTAAATTAGGATCTTCCTTGGTGCCCGAAGCTGCCTTTGGAGGTAGCATATTGTATGGATCCAGTCCCTTCTGTGAGGCTATCATGATCTCCCTCTCCAGCCCTGTAGCCTGCTCCTCATCAGTAGGGACACCACCTCTAGAAGCCGTGGAGTGCGTCGCAACCGTGCCATGGGGCCCGCGGGCCCTCAGGGCCTGAGCCGCCAGAGTGCCCACTCCGCAAAGTAACCTTGAAGCCATCTCGCCGGAGACCTTCTTTTTTCTTTTTTAAGGAATTATTTTTATTTGCATATATGTGAATATGAAGTATAGATGCCATGAAGGCCA